CGTGGGCTTACAAACGTACCAAAAACCTACGACATGTGGACGAAAGTTTAATAAATACCAGTACGTGTCATTCCCTGCATAAAACCATCTTGCAATAAAACAAAACGTGCCAATATTGCCAAATATGAAAACGCCAGTCCTTAATTAATGTTGTAATTGAGACTGCAACGACACTTGCTGTTAAATTATCGGCGGTTGTGTATGCGTAGAAACGGAAAAGGTAGATGGGAAACTTCTCCTGCTCCAGCTAAAAACGAATTATCAAATTAAAAAAAGGACAATTAGAAACTGAAGTGTTTAATAATGCGGCGTATGTAAAATTACGAAAAAACTCTCTACTTTTACAGTTAGTGTAACATACATAAACAATTAAATTTCAAGGAAGCGAGCCTGCTCGTAGTTTTCAAACATGGTTCAGCCGCTAAACGTTAGTTTTTAACTAGTGCACTGCTATAAATGTTGCAAGACTTGCAATCTGGCTAAAATATTTTTCGACATGACTCATGTGGTTTATGTTAAAATGGCGCACACTCCAAAAGGAGTTATAAATAACGTTAAAATTTGAACTCTGATAATCTTTCGAGGTTTACTAGTGATTAACGGTGAGGTTTAACGTCAAAGTAATTATTCGTCGGCAGTAAGCGACAAATTGTATCGGCGGGGTTTAAATTAAAGTGAAACGTGTTTAAATGCTACTTAATTTAAAGCGATTTAAAAAAGGATGCGACCGCTCAAGTTATTCAGATCATTATCCGTTGATACCAGCCGAAGCGATAATGAATGGAAGGTATTTATCCTTTTGATGAATTTTTATTTACTCTCGCTACAACCATTTTTCGAAATTGCGTAAGCGCGGTCACCGCCAGCCTTATGTGTTTTACGTTGTGTAATATACACACTGCATCATTTATATCGTAGAACTACTACAAGTAGCAATTAATTCTATAAAATCATCAAGGTCGCCGAGACTTGTTTACCTAACGCTTTTTCTTCTACTTTTCAAAAATTATGAGGAAATTTATATTCAGTCTGGGATTTTGCGAGTCAATTTTTACATTTTTGTGTCGTAAAGTCTGCACGAGAAACACCATCAACTGAATAAATGGCAACAAATTTCTAATGATTAGGGAGTTAGGGACTAAGATTTATCTACAGGGTGTTTCGTGTTTCTTATAAATTAAGAAACCATTATTATCTTAGCTGCTATCATTTATATTTTTTAACAAATATAAATCCTGCATGTACCGTATACATAACAAGCGCATTCGTACTACTGCAATAAGATTTTGTTCAATAATAAACAACGAGTGGTCACATGAGATATCTCGACATCGATATTCGTTCATTTCGAATTAAATACTCGAATATGTAACTTCCGATTTGAGAGAAAAGGAACCTTAATTTAGAAATTTAAGAGGCACATTGCGTATTTGATAACGTTGTTTTCAATAATTTATATGAGGTCAATAAAAAAAAATTAATATTAAAACCGAAATGCATACATGCAGGGTGTTAACAAACTCGTTGCAATGGCAGACAAAGCTCACGTACCATTTTTCGCTTTTATTTTTTGCGTCTTTTATTATTCATTATTTGGAAAACTAAGGGCAAACTCTTAAGGCACTTTTCTACGCTCTTTAAGAAAATGATTTTACTTTTCTCTTGCGAAATTTCGGTTTTTAGATACCAACATTAAATTTATTTTTTTAAATATGGACCTGGAATTCTTTTCTCTTTTGTGAGTAACTTTTGGTCTCTCAAAACTAATGATGTATATTACTACTGCTATCTCTTTTCGAAACAAGACATTTCAAGTTTCTTTTCTTTGGGATGGGTGGGATCTTTGTCACCTGCTCGTTAATTTTTTTTAATGGGATCATCGGGAGGAAGAGATCTTTGTCCCCTGTTCTCTTGGATATTTTAACGAAATCATTGTCCCCTGCTCTTGTTTTTTTGAAATGGGGTCATTGTCTCTTGCTCTTTTAGGTTTTTAAATTTTTTTGGAATCCGACTATTTGGAATGAATGGGAACTTTGTCATCTGCTCTTTAGTTTTTTTTTTTAAGGGATCATGGTGATGGGTGCGATCTTTGTCGCTTGCTTTTTTGATTTTTTTTAATGAGATGATTGCCTCCTACTTAGGTTTTTTATTTTTTTTTAAAAGGAACTTTGGGATGGGTGAGATCTTTGCCCCCTGCTGTTTTGTTTTTTTAATGGAATCATCGTCCCCTGCTCGTTTGTTTTTTTAATGGGAACATCGTGAGGAGTGAGATCTTTATCCTCTGTTCTCTTGGTTGTTTTAACGGAATCATTGTCCCCTGGTCTTGTTTTTTTTTTGAAATGGGATCACACAGCCTCACGCGCATCCACACAAAACACGTTTTCGTTTCATTTATGTGTATGGGAAATATGTAACTAGACCCAGGCCTGTTTATTTCAATAAATAAATAAATATATCTTTGTCCCCTGCTGTTTTGTTTTTTTAATGGAACCATTGTCCCCTGTTCGTTTGTTTTTTTTTAATGGGAACATCGGGAGGAGTGAGATCTTTATCGCTTGTTTTCTTGGTTGTTTTAACGGAATCATTGTCCCCTGCTCTTGTTTTTTTTTTGAAATGGAATCATTGTCCTGTGCTTTTGTTTTTTTAAATGGGATCATTGTCTCCTGCTCTTTTGGTTTTTTTAAAGAGATCATTGTCCCCTGCTCTTTCGTTTTTTTTAAATGGGATCATTGTCACCTGTTCTTTTAGGTTTTTTTTAGATGGAGCCATGGTGATGGGTGGTATCTTTAGCCCTTGCTTTTTTGTTTTTTTTAATGGGATCATTGTTCCGTGCTCTTGGTTTTTTTTACTGGAATCATTGTGGTTTCTATTTTTAATTTTTAACTAATTGTTACCACCGAGGTTACCACTCACAATACAGTTCGCGTAGGGTTTCATATGTCGTAAATTAAGGTTGAAGAAGGGTTTCTTTGTTATCGAAATATCACTGTTTATAAAGTGGACTACAGAAAATGTTTGCCACTTTTCTACTACCAAAAGTTTGATTTAGGTATCCTAATTTTTACAGTAAGTGTTTTAAGAAGTGTAACAATTCGTTGCTTTTAATCATTTTTGAGGGCAATGGTTTGTTTCTTCCTAAAAACGAGCATTGCATCGTAACTTTGGTAGATATTTATTGTTCTCCGTGTATATCAAAAAGATTTAATATTCTTCAAAGATTTAAATTGAATCAAAACATTCTGAAGCAGATTTGGCCAAAGAGATCAAATGCCAAGGCCAAAATTAAACAAGTATAAATTGTGCACAACTCTTGTGCAGATATAGCGTATTTTTTTAACCGTAATAGCTTTTGTTTTGACATCACCAATGGATATATTTCGTGCAGACGTCTCAATCGCCCTTTGTGAGTACCCTCTTCCGGCAATCCGTTCTTGAGGTATAAGGGAATATACCCGATTACGATAAGAGGTCGAGGAAGAGGATTAATTAATTAATTAATTAATTCCATGAAGGATAAAACTAGTTCCACCCCCCCTCCACCTCGTAGTTTGATAAGAGGACAGAAAGAAGGGCAATAGTTGGTAGAAAACGGTTCCTTTCGTCGGGGGGGGGGGGGGGGGCTTTTAGGCAGCAAAATTTGATGGCCGTCTGGTACACCTTCCAGGTATAGGCTACCTACTGCAAAAAATTCCAGGACTCTAGGACCAGTTCCCTAGAAGTAGTTCAAAACGGTAGAAGTGGGTCCGGACAGACAGACGGACGGACGGACAAAACGCAAACAATAGCACATTTTTTTAATTCTTAAAAATGCGCTAAAAAGCACAATAATACACTCTTGTGCAATTTTACGTAGAAATACGCGGGTTTTGGTGAAGTATTCAACGTAAGGGGGTTTTTAAAAACCAAACAGACTTTCTTTAGGGAACTTTTTTGTTTTTTTAGATGATATTTTATAAATTTTCGTTATGATTAATACTTTATTTTATATCGATACCAACTTTTGTTAAAAAAAGTTCAAAATTAAAAAAAAATGTTAGTCAGTTTGAGTTAAGTCATTCGATCAGAAATTAAAAATTATTTCTCAAGGTATGAAATGTCCCTAAGGGCTATTAAAATCGAAAAAATAAATTTGGAAGTACACTTTTCGCCTCTTGCTCGCAAGCGGCTTAATGACTTGTTTAATTTTGAACTTTTATTTTATTTTTTTATAAGAGTTATACATTTTTGAAATCGGGATTTTTTTTGTATTAAATGACCTAAATCGAGACCTAAATCTTTAAAATGCATCCCACGTCCTATATGAAATTTGGTATCGATATAAATAAAGTATTAATGATAACGAAAATTAATTTCCATCATCTAAAAGAACAGACAGTTTCCTAAAGAAAGTCTGTTTGGTTTTTAAATACCTCCCCAAATAACGATTTTAAAACCAAAAATCAAAAACGTCAATTATGTTATTTTTCGCCATATTTAGGAAACTTTAGAGAGGGGGAACATTTTTTTATTTTATTTTATTTATAGGCATAGTTATGCATCACTTTTGTCCATTTAACCAACTCTCTATCTATAATAAGCAAATCTGTACACGAAATTTGAAACAGCCTGTATATACATAAAGAACAAAGTGTCAGAAGTAGGTACTTTAAATGCGAATATTCTGAAAACGGAGTGTCCGAATAGAGTATCCAAACAGGGAAAATGGTTGATATGGACGAGACAGACAGACAGCCAGAACAGTCGGTACTTTAAACCCCGATATCTCGAAAACGGAATGTAGGACAACGGTACTTACAAAGACAATGAAAGGTATGAATGAGATATGAGGAGGGTACTCGCAAAGAGAAAATGGAAAATGTGACAAAGAAATATCACCTGCATTTTCCAGATCGTCTCATTATTTGCCGTAGAGTGGGTTTGCATACCAGGTTTAGCAGTTTATTCGTTTATGGTGGTTGCATTAGAATATTACATAAAGTTGAGAACGTGTCATATATTATAATACGTTATTAGTGTTATTACGTAATTTGGTCTTCTCAAGTTAACATAACTACCTACTTTATAAGAATACCATAACGCGATGTGGACGTTTCTTTTCGTTTAATGGTCGTTTTGGTTCTTTGGGCCTAACACAGCATCTCCCTCTGAATATGCTTATGCTTAGGTATGTGTTGCTGTATTTTTGTAATTAAATAAGTAAAGACCAAGAGAGGATAAAAGGTGAAATGTGCAAAGGCAGGTGGAGATGATTTAACAGTGTCACTTTTTAGAATAATTTTGTTTTGTCTGTTACTGGTTGTCATCCTTCAGGAATTTCCAATCGTAGATTCATTAGACCTGGATTGAACAACATGAGAGATAATAATGAAACGATCAATGGTTTGGGAGGAGTATTTGTGCTCTCATTAAACTGAACACTCGAGCTATTGACAGGCCGTCAGAATGTCAAATCGGAACATTTTGTGCATGGTGCAGTGTATCGAGATTCGAGTTTGGTTTTTGTAGCTCAAAGGTGTATTTGTTCAGGTAAAGAAAGTGAGAGCTTTATGATCACTGAAAGCGTTGCAATACAATCCATTAATTTTAATTAACCCCTGGAGTATAACAGCGTGAATCAATTCACACGTCTGTAACTTGTGTGATGTAAAATCCCATGTTTCTCGTCGACAACGAAAGAATCAAAAATTATAAATTGTTGACATTTAAGCATACCTCCGTCCGCATTATCCTCGTAAGTATTTGAAACGAAATAGTACCATTAGAGGCGGCCTTTCCACAGAATTAAGC